ATATATATATATATATATATATATATATATATATATATATATTCACTAAGACTGACCGTCAGTGGCGAGGATCTGTCCCGTTACACATAAGTACGGACTGCATATGCACTTTTGAGCTTAACTGTACGAGATTTTGGGAATATCGCTCTACATACTTTGACGGTCTGGAATACAGATCAGACCAAATAAACACTACAAACATTACAAACTGTCCGATTGGTGCCCAAGGGAGAAGTTGCTGTCAACGTTGATCTTCAACGCTTCGTTTGTTTTGCTGCCGATCCTGGGTGATGATTACTGTAAGTCGTGCTCACCGAATCCCAAGATACTAACTGAACAAGGAAACTTCACGGTTGTGTTACTCAATCAGTGGAGAGTCAGGGAATGTTTGATGTGGATTGCGGTACCCGTCATAGCGAAGTCATCATGTGCAAGATTAGTGTACCAGCAGTTTTGTATCCTACGGAGGAATTATTGAAGATCAACGAATGCCAGAAGCACTAGTTCCCTATTCAGTATAACTCTATGGCCATATGGTAAGGTGTATAAAAGTTGTGCTTAGCTTGATTCTGTGATACTCACCTACTGCTCTAAAAGCTGCTTAGGATGTTATAAGAATCTAACGAGACACAAAAACCAGCTCAAGTGGTATGTACATGCAGCCTTAAGGTATCGTTGATGAAGAGTTAGGAACACTTACATGAACCAAGACGGAAGGCCTAATAAGAAAAAGCCCCAATACAAACGTTGCTTCAGTTTAATACTGGGACCCTGGGATCAAACTGAGCTTAGCTTCTGAGTGCATCAAGCAGATGCTTTAAACTGATTCCGAAATCCCCTGCAGAGCATAGCCGGATTATGTGTTCAAGTTGGCAAACTTCTCAAATTACTGAATAAATACATCACCTGAGTAAGAGATGAGTCTTTTCGAGTGTATTATCCGATATGTTGAGTTGTATACCTACTTTCCCTCTTTATATCCAATCCCAACCAATATTCCGATTCCTAGTAAGAAAACGTGCTAAGAATGTAAGTATCTTCAACGCGACTATATTTCATACAAACATTCTCGCATAATCAAGCGCCACACAAGGGGTAAACTGAACTTTAATCAGCTGGTCTCAAAGATTAACTGTCTGTCCAACTAGAAATACTAAATTCGTGTTAGAGCCTTGAATGCAGGTTTATGCATTTGACATTAGACCATATGACAGATCCTGGACTCAAGCCAAATGATGAAACTAGCCCGACGATGATAGAATTTTATAAAAAAACAAACAACTTTTGAAATATCAAATATAATGAAATTACCATTCTAAAGGCCTCTTGCTAACCCCACGGAATGTAGTCCTACACGAATGGCGGGTCATGCCCATTTTCAAGCAGTTCTTCCGTACCCTCCGTAATACTTGTTGGGCTGTTACATTTCTTCCCAAGAACAGGTAAGCCCATGTGTAACAGCAGCAACAGGATGTTTTCCAAAATATATCAAGAACGGCTTACAGTCAATGATTTCGCTTGTTAGCTGTCGACAATATATCCAAGCATTAAGGGTACATTTTGTCATCACTACGCGGAACAACAAAATCGTCACTCCACAAAAGATGAGCAAACTGATGACTCCCGTAGACCGAACGAGCATTTCATTGTCTGACAATGGCCAATAAACATTTATTGACAGTCAGCTGCACACTAACGATGTCTCCCGGACTAGGGACGGAAGGCTTGCAGGCTAACTGCCAAGTTCTGCGAACGGCCATCTGATTAACCACCAGTAAACACAACCGAGCTACCAATATTTGGACACATTGATCACCAACACCATACAGTGTGTAAAATACAGCTATCGATTAGCGTCAAATGGAATGTTTATTCTATTTCGTTTTTCAACCCGCCAAGAACTGGAAAAAAGTTTACCTCGAATATCCGATCAATCGTTGTGTTTGGGGTACCATCACTCAAGTGTACCCACTCACTTTTGAGGTTATCTGGAGAACTCTTTGGTATTCTATACCTCCTTATCCGCTGAAGATATGTCGTCACAAATATCAACCAGCTGAAGTCTGAGCACATTCGCACCTGTAAACAGCTATCAGAGGTGTTACGCATCGCACAACGGACCGTTCACCTGTCACGTCTTCAAACCGAACCCCTCGTAAGTCAAGTTTTGATAGCTCACAATAGCAGGCGACGGCGTCAAAGTAGTGAACCACCTTACCAGTCTATCGATGATTTAACCCGTGTGTGACAAGTGTAAGACTAGGCTGGTAGCGTACTGGCTGGTATGTGGGTGAACAGACTGCAATCGGGAGATGGCAAGTCAGTCAGTCACTGATGCACCTGTTTCCTGGTCTTCTTACCCTCTCTCACAAAAACCAGCAAGAGACTGCATGAGATCAGGATGGTACCGTTTTGCGGAAGGAACAAGCCGTGTGGCCGATTTGGACGAAACTTCGGGTTCACGTGTAAATCTAGATTTTGTATGAAACCATGGGAACAGAAGCGCAGGCAGAAAAGGTTTAAATACGTAGCCGAAGCACGATGTCTCGGGAAACAGTTAAAGGGTTTTTGTGTTAACAAAATATGGCCTAGCTGTAGGCCTAGTTTTGACCATAGCTTTTTCTGTTGTGACTGGACAGGAAATGGACAGCCAGACTCTACCCCCCGTCCTGAACGCTTGGCGGCTGACGGACTGATAGTTACAACCGCGAAGGGTATGGTATGTTTTTAAAACGGATGAGGTCTTCACACCCTAATTCACGAGTAACCAGCGAAGCAAAACTTGACATTTTCTTGGCGTTTTTAGAAGTTAAAGCACAAGACGCACGGAGAGCTGCTTCAAATACACAGTCGACTACGAAACTACTTGGAGTGAATAGCGCACACAATTCACGAGCTTTGCTTTGCCACGATCTGCTAAAACCCTGCTCAACAGAACACATCGTACATGCACTGAAACCCCTATAAGAAGAGAAATAATTTATGGCTGTTGATAACCAATGGATTCTCCGAAAAAGTTACTAACCAAATGGATGTTGTTAATTACACCACAGCGATATTTTCCTCAAACTGCCTTTCAGAGGATCTATCATCTTGCAAACGAAGTGGGTCAGAAATCTCGGTCAGCTCTACGATGAATATGTCCTGTTGCACAATGATGCTTGCTGTTGACAACACTAGATGGGTTTCACCCGTTCACAAACCATTCATCAGTTCACATGCAATTGTGATAACGAGCGTTGAAGAATCCACGGTTGTGCCCCATCCGAATAGTTCAAAGAATGAAAGAAACAATAATCGATTGATTGTCGACGGCATTGGCAGCACTAAACGCGATCCAAACAGACAAAAAGACTGACCCAAACACTCCGTTCATGAGACTGGCACGTAATGTAAGTTCTACGTTTATTGGTCACTGGCTATCGTCCTTTAACCAAATTAAGGCGTGCTCATGACAATGAGTCGAGGGATCTATTTGTCTTGAACCTCACATTGGTCATAGTCCGAAAATCAACGAATAACTCAGGTAACAAATCCTAAATTCTCAGCACCACATACAAAATTAGTGCAGTAGCAGCATATACAACTTACGTAGAGAGGAGTTCAAGGAGTTCATCTCGTTTTTGAAGGAGTCGTTCACCCTGGTCAGTCTGCAATATACTATTCAAATTAGAAGAAGAGAGACAGTTAGGAGAAAGATGATGATGATGATGATGATGACGATGATGATGCCAGTCTTATTACCTGATTAAGCTCGTCACCTGGTGGGGCTCGAGGGGTACTGAAAAGTTCTCGACCTGACTTAATTATTGATACCTGAACTGACAACTAGAGCCAAAAGTAAGGTTAATTTATGGCCTCAAATGACAAACCACAAAGGCATGCCACTTTTAGATCCCATTTCAAGTCATGGAGTTAACTAGGTCAACAAAGTACGTAGAAATTTTCTGTGGTACTCTCCAGCAGTGATGAGTACAACTGGCTGCAAATGTTCCGAACTTCTCCCCGAATAATCAAAAGTGAGAATGTCCTTCTCAGATAAGAAAGGCCAACATCCTTTTGGATTCATTATGGACTTGTTATTCACTAATACATGCCAACAGTTTTGCACAATCAGAAAAAATAACTTGACCATGATCATGCCAATGGAAAATGGAAGCATAATGTGGACGCATGGTCATGCAAGAGACAAGATAAGCACACAGACATAGTGAGTATATTTGTCAGTATATTATGTTCGTTCAGCTGTAAGACTCACTCGGCGCCTAAATGGCATGCTAACCAGAGGAAGTATGGGGAATGAAATATTGTCAGGTTGCCCAAGCCTAGATAGGGGTTGGGTTCGAACCGCGGGCCTCCCAGTATGTAAGTTCTCACCATAACCATTGAGCTCTGTCGAGCTAGACACACTGCTTAAGGTTCTGACAGCCAACCTACGGAATGCGTTTAGGCAGTCAGAAATCAGTGCTTGTTTTCATCAGCTAACGCACGTTTGACAATCGGCATGGAGTTCCGTGGACTGCCCGAACAATCCAAACATGGTTCTCGAGGTTCATTAGAAAAATACAACGACGGCGGTTATTCTAACACACCCATTCAACTCCGTCGACTCAGATAGTTCGACGGAGCTTAGTTATCTGTGTTCCTGTTTGTTTCAGAATTTCTAATTTTTGAGTTTAGATTTCGACAAATGTAAGGTTTACACTGAATTACTGAAGCCGGACCGGCCTGCGTGGTGAGCGAATGGCTTATTGCATTGACTTTGTTACGGCTGAGGTGTTAAAACATAGGGCTGGTACAACCCATTATGGTCGACCAGGCTGGAAAATTGTGGCTTATGGGCTGTGCATCTCTCTTGGATAGCATATCCGACTTACATATTTGGTCAGAACAGTTTTACCTACCTATCACTGCTGTTGGACGTCACGAAGTCATCGGACAGGTTTGAAGCTCTCTTGAGTATCCCGAGATACATACTGGTGAGTAGTTTAAACAAGTGCTTATCAGTGCTTAAGCAGCTTTTAATTATAGATCGGTTCACTCACAGGACGAGAGCCCTATTAAGAATTACCTCATCCCCTCACGCCACCATTAACTGTTTGTTTTGGCATCCACGAAGTCCGCAGAGGCCCGGCTTTCGAGGAAAGATGTTTAGAATTCGAAATTCAAGTAAAAGCCTGCTATGGCTTTCAGGATTAATGTAAAAGAAACGTATTGCTTCACATCAAAATCAGTGCAAAGGGCGTTGTTAGTTGATGCATTTTGTGCTGATCGGGGTCATGCAACCCGATCGTTTGCACGCTAAATCCTTTCTTTCTTAATCGCGCTGTTATTCTGCACTCACTCAGCGCTTTTTCCGGTCAATAATACTTACTTTTTTGCACCATATCTATCTGAGAGGCAGCAGAGTCACGTCCTCTGTTGCGGGTCCATCTAGGTATATTTGTCTCTACGTAGCCATTCATTGTGAAGCCTGGTTTCCCGCCCACGCAAATCACGCTCGTACTTGACTTCACCCAATAGGTACATTGTGCTGCATTTGGGTCGTGCCTTGCTACTCTCGAATAACAGCGTAATCAGTCTCCCAACCGGTCAGACAGCTAAGGAGTCTATATGGGCTTTGACACTTACTCTAGCTCTTTGATCGAATTCAATCTCTGACCGATTTGAAAATAAAATGCTCTCGAATGTTCATTAGTCTGGCCACCAGCTTGAAATGGGTAAAGTAGGTTATCACCAAACTGTGAAAAAGGAAGCACTTAGTCAAAATGGGTCATAGTTGCGTTTTCAAGTCTGAGTATGGACACACAAGAGATGTATAAAACTGGGTACTTCGTCCGGGGAGACGATGCTAAATAAACAGTCGAAACATCGTGAACGACCAGTTCTTTGTTCGGCCACAGCAAATGAATATGCAACTGGGCAATAAGCACAACATATACATCTTTCTGTGCAAGCAATACAAAAGATTAAATTTTGCGGAGTACAAGTAACTGATAAGCTATTGCTATAATTTTGTTACGAAACAGGAAGACCATGAAACTCACGGATAATCGAGTAAGTCGATTGGGCTCATAACCGAATGGACTCTTCGAAGAAGATAAGCTGACCAAGCGATGGCACCAGCAGCTGGAGGGAGTGATTTGGAGATTGTCTGATTTAATCGCTCAGGTTTGTCAAAATGTGAATCCAAAATTTCCTTGCAGGTGTCCAACTCCAGATGTAGTTTGTTCAGTAAGTCAGTGTAACATGGTTCAAAGATAGGTTTGATGAGTGTACGTTCCAGCAGTGGTCCGAACATGAAAATGGTCTGAGTAAAACGAGAAGCAACATCACACATTTATGGAGAAACTTTGAAAATCCGTGAGAGATGAGTCAAACAGTGGGATGCACAAATGGGCACTTTTCTGAAGCCATATTGTGAAATGCTGTACTACTGGGCGGTTTTCCGTGTACTTCCTTCGAAGTGCTTCTCAAAATCTTGGGGAGCTACGTAGGCAGAAAACTCATCCATGGAACTGATCAGCCCTGCCGACAGCCTGTTACTTTATACAGAGACACAGTCACAATATTTCGCCACAGGTTTTAGAAGGCATGTGTTCGTTTCACACAATAACAGCACCGGGAGTTGTGCTGAATCAGCTCAAGTGGCATCCCATTAACGGCATCGGTCCAAACTTAGAGAAGCTGTTTTTATCTCAGGCATTCGGGATTCCCGCAAGAGTTTCCTTCCTTTCTTTTGCTTATTGTATCACTTCAACGAATGACTCCCCAGTTTTGGTTTTGTGATTCTTGTAGTCACAATGATAGTGTTTTCTTTGATCTTGCCAGCCATTTAGCCAAAACACTGGGCGAAACTTTCTTAGATTCCACAAACTCTCCTAGTTTGAATCAGCCGTCGTACCATCCAGGAGGCAATCGAAATGTTTTCAGGATGTCACCGAAACGCGTTCTTCAGTCAAAAAATACTCGACAAAACCCTAACATATCCACACTTGGAAAAACTGTCGTTCGCAGCGTGCAATTTTTGCCCACCTCCCACATTCTGAGCCAGTTAATTGTCACTGATGGCTTTCAGTACCAGCTGTGGTTCAAGAGTGTCGTAGAAACTTAGGAAGAACATTTACCTTATGAGCTGGGTTCATCATGAAGCAGTGTCGCTGACGACTTCCGGGACATGCGCAATCAGTTCCACAACGAACATTCAAAGACGGTTGTGAAATGCCCATCGTGACCGGACGTTTCACGCACTCCTAGATGGCCCATGAAAACATCTGATGGGTGAATCATTCTAACGCATCAGTAACTCCTGGGGGCCTCATGGAGAAAAATCAGGTTCCCCTGTCAGCAGACTACGTATACTCTGCAATAATTCCGCTTTTATTTATGGCGTCTAGAGAATTTTAGAAGCACTGAGAGATGTACAAAGCTTAATAAAAAGTCATCCTACGAGGCGGTGGGTGAAGTCTGTTGAGAATATCGGAGTCACATGGGTTTGATGCAGATTAGTCCGGTTCAACCTCGTCCAAATGGCACCCGAGGCCGTGGATAAAAAGAATTTAATTATTGGAACATCGCCAACGTACATCCTAATGCGAGGTGTAAAAAATAAACTAGAGTCCAGTTACCAGTCTAGTGTACCAGAACTTGGGTTACGCCCTCACGTCTGCTTTACTTCGGAGTTGGGCTTACCTATTTTGACCAGTCTGGTTGGGGGCTCATTAGCCGCGCAGTGCTCTCAGCCGCAAAACCTTTACGAGTGGAGTAAATCTTTTGCGTATGTGCTCAAACCAAAAACCATCCTAATCTACGTTCATATTTTTGCAGCTCACCAAATTTCACTGTAAAATGAAGCAATCATACCTCTGGTGGAATAATTCTCCAGCATCGCTGAGACCCCGGGATGTCTAAATGGGGCTCAAAAGTTTGCACTGGTACTCTGAACTCAACTGCCCGATTGTCCATCAGGGACACGTCATAGCTTTTGAAAATTCAATCCCATTGTGCGAATACTGAGCGCCGTCTTTTAGTGAGGTACTAGAATCTCAGACTTCAAAAAGTACCGTATATGTGGACTCTTAGTTGTGTTGGTTTGGTCGTGTTGGGTTTACCTCCGAATCTGTCACCATTGGCCGAGGTGTGTTGTTCTGTTCCAAACGTGGTACTAACGGAGGCGTACTCACCGCGTGACTAGGTTGAAAATGCCTTTTGAGCTGGTAATGGAAAAGTTCGTCAGGGTCATCAAAACGACGTTAGTTCAAGCACTAAAATGGCCTCATTCGATTCTAGTGGGAGCTCTGAAGCTTATTTATGTGGATTGATAGAAAAAGTCAGACAAACCAAGCTCTCACGAATTTGAATGACCTTGAGTGCGCCTAAAATCAGCTGTTATCTTGATGATACAGCAGTCTTACAATGGTGGAAAATGAGGAGACTGCTAACGTGGCTGAGTTTGACAAACTTATCCGACTAATTCTTAGCGCACCAGACAAGCGCAGCAGAATAGCTGATCAAAGATCTCAGTTAAACCACAATCGGTCAGATGCAACACTTTAGTCAGCTGCCCGGTCCCCCCGTCATAGCGGTTCCACCGAATTCTTATTCACAGGCCCCATGACACGTGAGCTCTGCCTACTCGATATTTAACCCGACCAAGGCATGTAAAACCGAAGTCTCCTAGTTCGTGACAGACTCCGAACCACCGCCCGCCATGAGAGATACCGAAAATAGAACGGTAACCTCGTCCGAATACCTCTGTTTTTTTTTCAAGTTCTACAGAACAGTAAAAGCAGTAAGGAGATGAAAAGGCGTATAAATGGTATCGGGGAAATATTTCTGCAACTGAAGGATACCCCGCTGGTGTAGTGAAGAATTAGCTTTAAAAATTAAATCTCAGTCTTGAAACCCTCCCTGTACGGTACGGAAATGTGTGAAAATGAGGAGTTCAGAGGAAGGATAATTCCACTGGATATGTGAAAAACCTCCTGAGAAGTCAGCACTCTAGGAGCCACTTAGTACGTGACCACATAGTGTGGTTTCCGTATTGAAGGATGAGTGGCGCCTTGTCCTGTCTCAATGAAAGCTAATCAAGCTATTGATCAACCAGAGGTGTTCAGATGGTTAAATGTCCACCACTGTTTGGTAGATTACGATTATGAATTTTTCTAAGTTTCTTAAGATGCCCACTTCTGACTGTTCTCAACAAAGGTGAAATAATTATACAGTGCTTCTCGGATTTTCTGTATAGGCAGGCTTCACTGCAAGATGAAATATCTAGCAGTGGTTTGTCCTAAAACTTCGCCGACACCGTTCTCGAATTGTACACGCTACCTTATGGATGCGGCCGCTGTGGCACGGGAATATGTGAAAAGTGGAGGTATTCGAGCACTAGTTTCAAAGAGTCATATATGCAACACGTCGGATCAACAGGTCCCTCGACGGCACCATTACGGTATATAAAACTGGTCATCCACCTCCCGTAAGGACGACCGTTCCACAAACCTAATGAAGAACTTATGAGGAAGGTCCCATAATGCAGCCCGGCGGTGGGTTTAGCGCTTTTAGGCGAATAAATACCTAGCTGACTGATGCTCAGTCAAACGCTGACCGATTTGATCTCCACAGTGTCTGGGGTGCTCGACGCTGGAAACAACACTGGATCACCGTTCAGAAGGGTTTAGTAAAGAGTCGGTGGGATACCATCTGTGCAGATCTTGCCATGGGTAGATAGGCGTGCAGTGTTGCAGTATGCATTATTCAAGGAGCCTCCTCAGCCTTCTACAGGAGTCAGCCTTGATAAAGTAAACTAATCAAGTAGACTTTTGGAGAAAGCGCCCTCTGCTTTGGTACTTGAATGCGACTGAAAGCGGACAATGCTTGATAGAGAGAAAGGTGCCTGGGAATTCGGGTATACATGTTTACTATTGTTGCGCCGTGGACTGAACTTCACCTCCATGATAAATCGCGCAGTCATGTTTGGGTACCGCTAGAGCAACTGAACTGCCGAATTCAGATCAAGCATCAACCAAACAACGTGAGCAACGAACATCCTGTTGGATAGCAAAACACCTGGTAATTTTATCCTTCTGCTGCATTATGGGTCATAGTACGGGCCAAAGTTTTGAGCCATACTGTCGAATTGCTTTTTCAGGTGAAAACAGCACAGCTGTATTTGGAGTGCTGGGCCTAGTGACAATCGTTTGCGTCTCAGCTGATGGATGACTAGAGGAAGAAACCGTAGACATTTTTACTGCGGAAGCCAACCAGTGGAGCTTACGGAAATTACTTTTTTTGGCAACATTACCCAACGATAGGAGGGAACGAGAGTTAAGCGGTACATTTATGTCTAGACCAGCGCCACCAGTGGCATTATCAGCGTAACTAGCGGTTTAGTTTTCAAGTTAGACCTTAATCACTTAGATCATCCAGACTATATGACTAACCTTGAAAGCGCCGAGAGTTGTATTGCTCATTAAAAATGCCTTCACGATTATTGTCGACATCCGGTTATCCCAGTGGTCGAACAACTTCATGAATTCACTGAGGGCTGTGGAGAAGGTCTGTGGCGAAGAAAGAAGAAAGACAAATAGCAAAGATAACTATTTATAGGGGATCCAAATGAAACTATTGTCAACAGAAACGGCATCCCAAAGATTTCCTTTAACATATCCCGTATGTCTTCCAAATCAAACTGATGATCAAGAGTGCATCAAGGGGGACCATGATAAAACTATCTGCTTAAACCACCAGACGGCCAAAAGATAATCTAGGACATACTCACCGTGTCCTCGGTGGATAAGCAGTCCATATTTGTGTCAGTAAATTTGCGGTATGCTTCTTGGTATTCGTCGTACACCATACTGACTCTCGTGGTTAGGGTCTGACCGACAACTCCATGAACTTCGACTTTCTCCAATCGACTATAGTCCAGCAGTGTGTGATAGTAAACCTGAGGATAAGGTGAAGACAGTCTTCACACAGTACGAACGACGATGCTGGCATTCTAAATAGGGGACTTGATGGACCTTGGCATAAACGATGGATCTCTGCAACTCCAGAGTTGGTTAAGCATTCTGTACACTAGTATGCATCATTGCAATTAATGTGTTCCACATGCGTTACGTGTTCACTTGTTCATACCGGACAGATGAGACTAGGTGTAGCTGAAGTAATATATACTAAACTTTGGTAACCCAAAAGTAGACTTAGGGGATGGGATTCGAACCCTGACTGCCCATTTTATCAGGTGACCTAATGCGGACTCCACAACATACCGCGTATAGGAATTACCACACCTCTGACTAGTGGTTTGATAGTCCAAGACTGTAAACGTCACTAGCTATCCACTTTGATTTGTACAGTGTAACCGATGGTAACGCCATGCAGACGGTCAAAGAACTTGCACTTTTCAAGCTGTGCTAAGCTTTTGAATAGATTTTGGCAAGCATTGAGAAGATCCTAGCGTTCCAAAATCGGAAGTTGCCAACTAATGGGTACTGAATAACTACCCCTTCTCAACCGTGAATCACCATCAGAGTGAAACTCACTAATCTGGGGGAAGATGTTAGAAGACACGACCTCACTAAGCAGTAGTTGGTTCTCTAATATGTGTGGTGATCAGCCTCGTGATGAACTCTCACTTAGCGAAAAGTCGGTCACCCACGAGAATGTAATATGCAAAACGACCACTGGAAAGAGCAAGACGTTACGACGGTGTCTAATGGAATCTCCCTGTATACACCTGTGTTTTAGTGACAAAAACATCACCCACTCTTTTAAACGAGGGGGATAGTTAAGGCTGTCCCCAGAGCATCGTCCTGATCCACATATATGCTACAATTGGTGGCCACAATCTTCGTTAGTTTATGGAGATAGGGTCTATGAAATGAGGTGGTGGAACGATCAGTCTCTATTTTATAGATATAAACTTGGTACCAGCAATAGGCACTACATGTGAGCGAGAAGACGGATAACTAGTCAAACACAGATTCTATTACCCAAAAACTTGCCTTGATAGCCTCCAGTCTTTCAATGAACGCATTCAAACGACTGAAAACCCAAGATGAATGGAATGTCCACTCCGCAGGTTCCACATTTTGTTCCTGACAAGATTCCTTCACATTTTGTCGGTAGTCTTCAACTACGTCACGAAAGTGCCGCAGAATATCCAGCGACTTGTTTATCTTGATCAGACCCTCATCCGGTTCTTCTTTAATGATTTCTGTCGGATCCAGGTATTGCCGACACTGAAAAGAGAGGAGGTGGGAACGTCCACAGCCGTAAAATATGCACAACTGACTATAAACAGACTTAAAGCTCTGAAATTGGGGAGGAGATGAAACCTTGTTGCCGTCTACACTTGATTCCATTCTGCTGGTTCTCAGGCTCACAGCAGTAAAATTTTCGGGACACATCAGCACATGGAATCCAGTGAACGGCTCGACCTGTTGACTTGTAGGTTTTGTTGACAGAAACCTCTGAGGCATGTGGCTAAAGGAAAAATCAATAACCTAACGATCACTATGGCAAATAGTTCCACAGGTGTGTCGGCGATCAGAATACGAAACCGACTATTGGTTTGTTTTTAGTGGACGACAGTCCAGTCATTATCTGAATCTGTTCTGGTGCACTAACCCGCTATTCCCAGGGTTAGTTCAAACGACTGGTCACTATGCCACCGAACTCAGCTATTCCCTAACAAACATCGACAGCGATTTCCACAGCCCAATAGAGTTTTGGGCTAGGTAGTGAATTCGTTCCATTCTTCTGACATGATGGAGTGAACAGGCTTATAGCTTCATCCCGTGACTTAAAAGTTGATGTATGTGGGCTATTCATGTGTCGCGTCTTGAGTGCGAGTCTCGCGTTTGGGGGGTAGTGAAGTCCACAAATTTGTAGCTGACATTTCAACTTAAGCTGGACTGCGTATGGATGTGTTGTGGGTAGTTGCGGGATTGGTGGAATGCAGGCTCGCATCAGTCTCGTTTGGACAGTCGTCTTTCTGTCCTGGCACAATCATCCTGGTGAGTCCGCACCAGAGAAAGGAAGCACTGGACTCGTGTTTCCCTCTTACCATTATTGGACCACTATCGATCCAGTGTGACTCATGCATATCTATGCTGTTAGAAACCGCGTACTTTGGGCTATTTAGGACTCTGATGGGAAGCGATTCGTGGGGAGTGCAATTTGTTCGATGGCTGTAAAAGATCTGGTAATTTTTTCAGCAGTCGAGATATATTTTGGACGGCTAGTTGACTACATGGTGAGATTGCAGGTGATTTGGAGATGGACGGATGCTCTAACAAAGCACGAACAAGAGGTAAGGAAACGAAAACAAAATCACAGATGGAGGTCACTGCCTAATCCGCCAGGAATTGGCTTAAAACTAACAACAGGAAACCATGATGCTACTTACACCGTGTATAGTAGACAACCTCACAAATGTTTACTGGGTGTTTGTGTGAATAACTTCAGCCATCCATGCGAACACCGACGTAATTAATCAGTTATGAGAGGCGAACCATTCCTTTTCCAAGTGGGACATTTTTCGCGGTTCATTAATGATCGCTCATGCTCACTTGGATGGACCTATTTACGGTTTTTGGACAAATATATGAAGGTCAATCCACTCAAGTGAAATATGCTTTTTGTAGGGATTCAGGCCAACTGTACGTGTGGCATTCAAAATAAAAAAAACTAAGCCCCTGCGGAGTTTGGTTGCACCACAGTAAAATACTAGGCGGACAGTATTGCACGCAACTGCGACCTACATAAAAGCAACTGATTGCAGCTTAAATTGGATTACCAGCCGAAATCCGATAGGAACATGCTAACTCCAAACTCTATTCAGTTTGAGACGTCTTCATCTGTCCGTTGTAGTCAAACTCAGCATTTGCAATTTCGTGAATTTCACATTAGTGCAGAGTGAACTGGGTCAAAGTTCTGATAAGACATAAGATTCAAAGCGGAATACTTACCAGCTGAATTAACAAGTTACACGTCTCCGTCATCAGGATTACAATCCTGTCCGTACTGCGGTAGTACTCACAGTTGACCCAGAGAAGGGCCATCAGATGAACGATCGGCTGAATCTTTGGCTTCAGCTCCTCAAATTGCACGGTTTCCAAGTCATTGAGATAATTTATTAAAGGGGTTAGAAAGGTCACGATTGTTTCCGATTCGACAATAGCTGCGAAGAGAATGTTAGGGAATGCTTTTTACTGATGCATTCAGCACTTATAATAAATCTTGCACGCGAGTGACATTTTTACGAGCACTCGTCAGTTCTCGCCGGAACGAGTGTGTTCCAAATTTTCCCCAACATTATTCACTATGCGTTTTGACATTACCTAACCCTCCTGCGATGCTCCGCAGTTGCTAGCTTTTGTGGCAAAATAGACCCATTGGAGGAAGATCAATACGTCCATCTCCATTCACATGTCTCTCACTTTGTTGAGTTCTATTAACCGGCAGATCTAGCCTTCCGTTCCGCGGTCCACCTTCGGGAAACACTTAACCCAGGCTTGATCAAGGATATTCGAGAACACGTTAAACGGCTGTTCCACATCTTAGAAGACGAACAGAATGGATTAGTGGGTTAGCTGAATAAACGTTCAAACGAGAGTGGTTTGACTATGAACAAAATACCTTTCCCGCAAAACGCCAAAACCGCAACCAAAAAGTTACCCAGTGGGTTTCTAGCGTGTGTCACGCCACCTGACTGGGAAGTCCTGACCGGTGGGTCAGTCGATCGTCACAATCGGGGCAGTTACTGGGTCATCGTTCGATAAGTCGGGCACATTAATCACATCACTCAAATGTGAACACATTCAACTGTTCAGACGTGAAAATTCAGATGCACTGCTGATGAGCTCTAATTAGAGCGAAACTCGAATCCAGTGCTCCCCTTTGGTGTGGACTCACCGGAATAATTACTCCAGAACAGGAGGATGACCGTTCAAACGAGAATGGTGTGACTTTGAACAGAACGTATGAGTTTTCTCCCAACTGCAGGTAAAAATATTGATTTCTGTTCATTAGTGCACAGATGTAGATCGCAGCCGTACCACCAGAAAGGTCCATGCATTCATCAAAAAGGACTGCATGAAAGTGTCTTCGTGGTATTAAAAAAGCGCTAATAACGAGATCTACTTTATGGGGCCACGCATCACCTGCGTTTGCAGTTTCATGTGACCTGAAGAGCTCAAAACTGAGATACATTGCGTGTTAACTAGGATCGAAGGTGCACTGTTCGGAAGAAGAATTCATACCTACTCTACGTTCCTAATTTCCCAATATTTGGATCGTCAGGGGAACAAACCCGCACTGGGACTTGAAACAGTGCTGATGGCTGTGCCTAAAAGTATACCTATTTCACACTACCATTAATGTGTAAGTAGCTCAGAGGAAGAATAATTCATATGGCGAGTGAAGCTTCCATCTGAGAAGTCGTCGCTTAAAGGTTTTCGTGATCAAAAACTGAGTAGTGTTGTATTCTAAGTTAGATTTAATCATAATGCCGACTAGCCGCTCATCTGTCGCCACTGGCCAGAAGTTAGTGGGTTCGAAATATCCTCCCTAATAGGTACCAAACAGCTATGCAGTGCTTCTAAGCTTTTCAGCGTAGATTAGTTTCACTGAAATTTCCATTAAAATTACCTCACACTTCCATCATTACTTTGGGCCTGATTTCACAATCTCAACGATACGGGCAACCCTCAACTGTATGAGTCACTGTGACATTGCACTCCGAAAGTGGTTATGAGCAATGCTCAAATGACCGATGAACTCTTGCGAAATTCTATGTGATTCAGGCGTAGGTCGAATCATAGAGCAAATTCATATTGAAGGCCATCAGGCGTCATCAAAGAAGCTTTATGGTTGAAGGTTATGTATAGCCGAACTCCCCACAAAAACGGACTTACCCCTAACTACCCTCTTGAACATCTCTTTGAAAGGATTCGCGTAAGCACTCCTGTTTGCCTCCAGTATGACAGCCATCTTTTTTACTTTCGGATGTACCAATTGTTGGTAGATGTCCTGCATACAATTCATCCGCTGTTGCCAAAACTCATATTCGAAATTTGGTAAGGGAAATTCCCCGTTGGCGATGGCTTGTCCGGATTGCTGTTTTAGGATATCATTGATCTGTGCACTCCAATCGACCACAGCAGTTTCGATGGCGTACATCAGGCTGCCAATCACGTCATCTCCACTGAAACGAAAAGAATCGGGCGAGGAGTGGAGGTCTATATTCCGGACAATTTTGGTCTACTCTGTCACATTTATTCTCGAGTTCGTATGTGGGAATGATGGCGCTTAAACGCCTAAATTATTTGACTCTCGATATTTTCTAAAGAATATTTGAGATCTGTAACAAATAAGCTGAATCGATGGCGAAGTTGAAGGCCAGCTTGTTGAGTTCGAACCCATGTCGTCGAACTGACATTTCATCATAGTATATGCCATCAAAATTCTTTCAAAGTACACGAAATCTAGCTTCCGACATGTTATCCTGCGCTGGTTTTCTAACCAGTCCTCCATATAAATTAATCGGTGGAAGCTTCCATGCCTCAGGGTGAATTTAAGGTCACTTTTACCTACAGGAAATACATCTATTGAGAAATCAATTGATTAGTGATCCACCGATGTTTAAGGTCTCAAACCATATCCCTCCGTCTCTTTTTTCTGATGATACTACTTATAAGCCCGTTTCAGTAGGTGGATATAATTGTGAATAGAGCAGACCATAGCATGGCTATTACGAGTCTCTGGGTCATATTCTTCCCTCCATTAGAAGCTTTTTTTTATAAAAATTTTTTTATATGGGTTAACGATGGGTTTACGACCTGGTGCTGACCTATCTTAAGCACTCTGAGGCGCTTACACCCCCCAGTGCTCAGTCAATCTGGGAAGAAACTGCCAGCATGAGCGCCGCTGAAATCTATAGACCGCCACTTCTTACAGTGTCTCCAGCCAAGAGTAGGAGGTCTCAGGGACTTCATCCTGGGTGAGGGACAACACAATAGGTACCTTAACACTTCGTATTCTCTTTCCTATCTTTCTCCCAAGTTATACGTAGTCCACCTCGCGGTGGTTTGCGCTATTCTGAAGGGGACAGGGGCAGTGTTTTGGCATCTTCAGTACCTGGCCGAGTAACCGTAGCTAATTTCTACTCGTTTGTCAATGATTCACCAATGTACGGTGTTGAAAATAAGAAGGAATAGGAACTATTGTTGCAGAATAAAAGTTACAGCACTCGGTCGATTCGGCTTGAAAGATTCATGCGTTTAGCAATTACGCTAGGCGGTTGCACGCCACCGGAATATTCTGTACAACTTCTTACATTCATCACCAGTTAGAATATTCACGTAAAACACTTTGGGAATTTCGTTCAGCCGCATCACTTAAAGGTTCTCCCAGCAAAATTTCAAACGAGTGAATCTTGCATAGACTGGTGAATCCATCACTAAACGACTGATTCGAAACTCACTGACATGAGATGGGTTCTTGAGTGTCAATCTTTTCTATGCCAACAGGGTGTGCCAAATGAGTCTTCCCTTCAATTCTAGCCAGTACCATGGCCGACTTTTTCTGTAGATTGTACAGGTCACGTTTGATGTACTCGCTCAAAGACTCGGGCCAATCCTCACGATTTTTCTCATTCAGAATAATGGGTGAAAGTACCTAAATCAGAGTAGATAACTCATGAAGTTAGAAGAAGGGTAAATAGAAAAAGGAGATGGTGAAATGTCGAATTACTGGTACTTGTACTTACAGTATTTACAAATGCAATAAAGTGATGCAACGGGGATTTATCCATATCACCATAGGACAGCAGTGTGTTCAACGTAGACCAGTCAGTGTTCTTCTCAATGACGCCTCGTTCTTTTTTGATGAAATAGTACGCCTTGAACTTGAAAACTTCCGGAAACTTTGTGTGAATTTCAAATACACCGGTCGGGTGAAGAACAACAAACAAGTGTGTGAGATCCGATTGCTCGAAGAAATCCAACAACTTTTCGGCTTGTTTCGAATCATCCAGGAATTTTTTTATTTTGTCATATTTCACATCGGTAATTAGTTGGATATAGCTGAATACGAATCTGAGACGAAGATCTTCTATGTCCTCAACAGACATTTTGACTTAGTTGTAAGCGACCAACATCAGTCACAGGCCGAGCTGAACAATTAGTCTGTCAGTGATTTGAAATCACTTTGCTCCTCAATAACTCATCCTCGTCGATCGATACTTATCTTAGCATGGCACACCGCACAAGTAGACTATGTAGTGAACCTGGGCATGCTTTTTTGTCTGTGAATGGCGTTTAAGATACACTTAAAAATGCCGAAGGTATGCCGTCATTCGCTAGACCTTATTAACAAAAGCCAAGCTTAGACTAACCTGAATCAGGTTGGGAAGAATGCGAAGTGGGGAAATATGTCAAATGAAAGTTTAGGTGACAAATTGACTCCGTTGCCGGTCGTTAGCGACCAATTGCATAGATTCGAAACCGGCTGAAGGAACTAAAACCTAAAGGGTAGCGATGATCTCTTAAACAGCAGGAACAATCATTTCAAATGCAGGGAAACAATCATGCTAACCGCGCTGTTCAAGCTATTCGGGCAACTTGACGGAGGCCAAACATGTATGCTCCACGTCTCCACTTTTCCGATACGGGTAGATGCCTCCTACCTATATGGGCACACATTTCGTGTTGTTGTTTGCCTGGACTGGATGTACATGCACGTCTTGGCTTTCCGTCCCACTGACTTCCCCAATCTTATATGAGCGTCTTGTATGTGGTACGCTTGGAAGTTGAACCTCATTATGGTGTTTTGTTTTGAATGGTGAGAATCAGTTGGTGAACCATCCTTGTGAGCCTCGTGATTGGTTTTCCTTCATTTGAAATGATCATTCTTGCTGTTTAAGAGATTGTCGCTACTCTTGACGTTTTACATCCTTCAGGTGGTGGATTAGAAAGGCAGCTAAAAGAATGTCATGAGTGACTATTGAATTCAACTTGACATCTTGATAATTCCCCATTCATATGCTTACTTCACCCGAATACTTTTGCTCATCTGTACCTGACATTCACCCCGCTGCTCCCGTTCGATACTGGGACACTGTGTGTGCGCGCACCCTGATCCGATTCACCCATGTGTGCTCGTTTCCCCGTTTGCTGAGCTTGCCCTGACTTGCTCTGTCGTGATTTCTGTGAGCGCACCGTTAATTAGAATGACGAGAGTCTCCTCGGGACGATCAAAGCCAGCATTCAGCTCGCCATGGTTTGGTGTGCGGACCTTAACAATGCACTCTCCCGGTTGGTGACAGACTTGTGCACTTGCTGATGCCAAGAACGTGGACAGCTGAGTTTTGTCGAATAACTTTGCTTACCTTTGTGTAAGTAGGGTCGTAAACTTGTGAACGCAATTCTTCCTTTTTGATTGTCAAACTCAGAGTTCCGTGTCGGGAACCACAACAATGATTTTCAAGATATGTGGACCGGGGCTTCGATTCCTCAAAAGAAACCACATGCAATTTATGCTGCCTACCGGTTGAGGGAATTTTCTTCCAGTGACGTGTTTTCTTCAGAGAACTTCTCATTGTATTTGTTTTCGGGATATTTGTAAAAAAGTATCAGCATGAAGACCAGCAACCAATTTGGAAGCATCTATGTATGATATATACGACAGTGAAGCATCAGTGTTGAACACCGATGGCATGCTGTCGATGGTGATGATGATGATGATGATGTATGATATAATCAGGATCATCGAATAACTAGTTCTTGGTCTGATCCACTGTCCCATGTAAGCCTCCATTAATGAGGCCCTGTCAGCGGAACCACCACAATATTAGGAATCGGTAAAAGAAAATCATGCTCATTCTGACCGGTGTCATTGGAGGGTGGGCAGACCCAGTTGAACGCAGCAGTAAGTGTATGCTCTGCTGCTGATCTCAGGAATCTGCATGATCTACAGAAGTTAAATCTTTCCTGACTGCTGATACCTGCCTTTATAGAACGGGAATTAGAACAGGTGAACGTAGCTAGAAGCATCGGCACTGTCTTTGAACACCGATTCATGCTGTCGATGGTGATGATGATGATGATGATGTATGATATAATCAGGATCATCGAATAACTAGTTCTTGGTCTGATCCACTGTCCCATGTAAGCCTCCATTAATGAGGCCCTGTCAGCGGAACCACCACAATATTAGGAATCGGTAAAAGAAAATCATGCTCATTCTGACCGGTGTCATTGGAGGGTGGGCAGACCCAGTTGAACGCAGCAGTAAGTGTATGCTCTGCTGCTGATCTCAGGAATCTGCATGATCTACAGAAGTTAAATCTTTCCTGACTGCTGATACCTGCCTTTATAGAACGGGAATTAGAACAGGTGAACGTAGCTAGAAGCATCGGCACTGTCTTTCCCGTTGGTAGCGACACCGACTGACAGCTATCCCACAGCATTGGATATTTTTCAGCAACTTAAAAGCGTGAAACTTCGCCCCAATATTGAACCTCGTGTATACCTCTTGTTCACTTATATCCCCAGCTCTGGAAAGCCCGTTCGGGGATATAGAGTTGGCGAGTGGATGTTCTGCCCATTGACAGATGCCGACAAGTAGCAGCCTTCAATGGAAATCCGGTTATGGCTTTTCGTCGTATCCCGTATCCCTGAGGAGTCCTAGGTATTTCCCAAGCTTTGAGATCATCCGCATAAAGGTGCAGGGCACGGGGATAATTGGTGAATACCCAGAAGAGTCAAATACCACACAATGTCAAATGCCTCACTGAAGATAGTGTTCACAGCCTGCGCGTCATCCACTACCTACATGTCGAGCAACACGTCCGCAGTGTATAACCTGCTGGCTGCCAAACAAAATTTTGAGGTGCTTGTATTCTTGCCGCGTCTACAAACTTCTGCGAACCTATCACTTTTTCAGATTACCTACCACGGACGTCAAACTGACAAGTCGAGAGCCGACAGGCCGTCGCTTATCGTATTCTTTGATTCAGTGCATTTCAGCTACCCATGGGAAGATTTATCAACTTTATACATAGCTCTTCCTTAAATCCTTATCACAGCAATATGCAAAGCCGCCTTAATGAATTTGACATCATAACCTGACTGACGCTTAATAATTCGGTTAACAATGACACTACTATCTTTGGTAATGTTGACTCTGTCACTGGCTCTTACGGGGCTACCAGAAAAAGTGAAACGAGCGCAAAACTGTCAAGACCCTCTGCAAACACAGTTTAGCGTAGTTCCAAGCAAAGGGATGGTAGATGAAGCTCAACTGTTAGCCTTAAGCTTACCAGGAAGGTTCATTATACCACTTGCAACGAATAAGTTAAATAGGTGTCAACGAACTTCCAGCAGTTCGACATTTCAACGGAAATCCATCTGAACGAGCAAGAGCTAGGTTTCATGCGGCAATACAGACGAAAACTAATGGAAAAATGACGTAGTTATTAGACGCATGCGGTATCCGGAGGATATTTTGATCACTACAAACTACGAGGATCTGGCGGAGATAAATCCCCCGACAAAATTGCAGTATTATCCATGCTTTTTACGATTATTCTACTCCCCTCTCAGAGGACTGAATGACTTTTGGCCGGCAGGTAACATATCATGCTAAGAACTTATTCCAGTTATTCTGGTCACCTGAAGGGAAGGCGCAAAGCTGAAGTGACAGAACTATGGAATCCCCCAGAGATACCTTTTCACCGACTGAGATTTCGATGGCCATTTTGTATCAAGCTCTTCAAAAATCAGTTCTCTGCACTTTGTTTGGGTACACGGATAACACCTCAGCCTACACCTCACCATTCCCGCTTCTAGGCAACAACAAACTTGAGTTTGCAGCCATCAGCATTCACACCTTTGCATATTCGTTTCCATGTACTACGGAATCCCAGTTGAGTGAAGATCAACCTAACCAGTCCAGCAACTTCAAGAAACGAAAAAACGGCTCTAGATGATGTACGGCTGTTTTTCCAGACATGGATGACCTTTTCATTGCAGATGTATTTTGCTTGATAGGAGAAACTATGACCATTGATGTGTTTTGGTCTCCGAAGTTATGGGACAGATATTTGTTTTTATAGACTACGAGATAATGTTTATGCAAACTAAGCTGCGGTACATAGTAAATGCGTCTTTGTCAGTGTGCGTCGCAGATAACGTTTGATACTCAGAAAGCTGTTAGCCTAACCAGTTTATTGAGTGTCATTTCACCCTTTTTCCGGTCAAACACAGAATTCTCAGGCAATTCCATCAGCTTTCACAACTGCCAACTCCTGATAGCGGTTATTTCACTTTCATGAGGGAACTGTATAAATGGACCTTTCTTGCGCAACATCAAATAATATTATATTTCCAGTAAATATAGACGGCTACTTCTCCTTTTCATGTGTGCCTTGATCGATACGCGACTATATCCCAGATGGTCCGCATCTGTGAAGTACATGCTCAGCTAAACATTGCTTAAAAATTGTCTTATACTTGAAGGCTCTACCTTTCTGATAGAATAGCACTTTAGCCTAAGAGAAGAATATTGTTTATCGACAAAAAACTTATTTGCACATAAGTTTGATTTTTACAGGAGACTCAAATGAATCTTTCGTTTATGATATTCTATGATATTGTTTGTCCTTCATCCTGAGTGTCTTGAAGTGAGACGGATGAAAAACACTTGTTGCGGTACTGCAGAACGGAATTTCACTGCTGTGTAACCTTATGAAGGCCGGATGTTAGGAAGGTGATTAGTAGGGAAATATGTACTTGGGACATTGAGCAACGAACTATTCAGTGTTGCCGCACAACAGGACTGTGGCAGACAGTGGATGCGGCAACAGGAACCATGGTACTGGATCTGACATATGTCAATTCACGTAAAATATAAATACAAATGTACGCTCAGCAAAAACAATCACAATGTGGTGGACATTTCCTGGTTCCCTCAACCAACTTCACTCAGTGTGGCGGTTTGCACTTTGAAACCGAAGACAGAGGTTAATATACCCTTGAGGGTATCCAGCCCTTAAGGGCTGTTAGACAATCAGGGGAAAACAATCGAATAGTTATGAATGAACATAAGTGTAACGACAGACGCAAGGGATTACAGACGGACTGTGGTCATACGGCACCACAA